TTTTGTTTCGTACCGGATATCGAATTAAATGCTTCTTGATAATACGCTTCATTATTTTACACTCGATGCAAGTTAAACTGACAAGGTGATAAGTGTTGCAGTCAGGTTATGAACCTTCCTTATAGATTGGGGTAATGAATGCCCATTTGCCTTCTTCCGGGGTTCGCCTTCTTCGAAAGACTTTTGGAGTATGATAGATAGGGGTTTGCACAGTTCGTAAGCTAGCTCGCGAAGTATTAGTGCAGGAATTCCTTCACAGCTTAGAAGTCTCATTTTTACCAAATTTACGTTGCTGCATATACCCCCGTAAGTGCTTATCATAGCCGGTTAGTCTCCAACGCCTCCAAAACCGATGCCATTTTTTGAAGGAGACCTTACATTTTGAATTTATCCACTTTGGTGGTTTGTAGTTGTATTTCTTCTGGGAGGATAACTGAAGGAAACAATCTTTACCTCGATTCGAAGAAGGGTATCCCAGACTATTCAGCCAGCCAAATTCAGCGATGGGCAAAATTTATTCTCGGTTACGATTTTGATATCCTCTACTGTCACACTAGGGATTTTGGCCAAGCTGACGCTCTTTCCCGCCTCATGTGTAATCATCAGGAACCTGAGGAAGATACGGCGATTGCTGCTACTTCGATTGAGGACGGAGTGCGCCGCCAGCTTTCGGACGCCATACGAGGCATTCCTGTAACAGTCGCCGACATCCGATGCCTTACCGAACAGGATCCCGTACTTCGAAAGCTATCCTAAGTTTTATTTTCTAAAGTGGGGCGTCCGATGACCTCTACCCCCGGTTCAATGAAAGGAGTTTTTTTCACTGCTTCCTCCTTAGTTCACCATACTTTTCAGAGAGTGTTGACTATTTTTTTTAAACGACGATATGTTGGCGGATATAAAACTATCTGCCTACCATACTAACCACTCTCACTGCCTTTGTGGTTGTTGACACAGAGCAGAATTTATCCACTTTGTATTTATTTTTACCACAGCAATAGGTTTGCAATGACGAGGCTCCCCGGGCCTAAAATATAAAATTTATTTATTCACCTCCCATGTGCAAGCGAGTTGGCCCACCTCTGCTCTCACTGGCGACCTCCACCGGCTTTTCCTGCGTTGAGTATCGCTGTCTGTGATGGATTCATATCTCCTGTTTGCAGACCATGTGGTCATTTCCCCTTCACTTCGACGCCAGTTTCATGCTGCTCAGCTTGGCACCAGTCGAATGAAGTCCATTGCCCGCAGCTTTGCCTACGGGCCGGGCATTGACAGTGACATCAGCGACCTGGTTCGGCGCTGTTCACGCTGTGAACAAGCTGCCAAAATGCCCGTTCGTCAACCGCCAGTACAATGGAAAACTCCGGATAGGCCTTGGTCCCGTGTGCACATCGATTTTGTCGGCCCACTCGACGCTGTCACTTACCTAGTCGTGGTTTACGCCTACTCGAAGTGGCCCGAGATTGCACCACTGTATCCGGCAACCACCTCTGCCACTATCGCCCTCCTTAGGCGCATATTCAGCCAACAAGTCCTACCGGATGTTTTGGTGTCGGATGATAGCTCCCAATTAACCTCATCGACCTTTAAAGATTTCTGCCGCCAACATCACATCCAGCATCTTCCCTAACTGCCCTAACATCTCCAATCGAACG